GATGGGAGTGTAGGGTGCTTGAGCCTCTGCCCCGGTTCATTTCTCTATCAAAAATGTCCTTTTATGCAAAATCAGGGAAGGGAAAGTCCCCCTGTAGTAAAAATCAAGAGAAAGAAGAGTGCCCTTTTTAGTGGTAACCAGAGACTTTTTTCAATTTATTTTTCAAATAATAGTTATAGTGATCACCCTTGCTGTTTGAAAGGGCTGTGCACATTTCTACTATTTAGTTATAATGACTTACACAGGATGTTTAGAGATATTATTCTGAATTGGAGGTTTTATTGTATTTTCATAATCTTATAACAACCCTCTTAACCCATTCGCGCCGGGCATTACGTATACGTGACGGGCCCACTGTGAGTTTACTTTTTTGATTGTTTACAAACATAGATGGCTCCATTTGCACTTGTACTGCCTGTCTCGTCTGTTTACCCTTTTCTTTGATTTACGAAATTATTTTGCGTTATCTTATTTTGCTGTTACGAATGTTTATAACATTATAGTAATTATAATGTTTATAATCAAAATAACCATCGATATTCATAGCACTAGTAAAAATACATTTTCCCGCCAAATAAAATCAGGTAAAGCAGAGCCATCTAGTGTAGAGAAATTTCATTAAAAGATATAAAAAATGAGCACAGCATTTCCCCCATTTTTTGTTAATTTTTACCCGGCGCAAATGGGTTAAAGGCAACAAAAGCGTCAAGTTATATCCATAAGCTTTAACAAATTATTATCTTTATTTTTACTTTCTTCTGCAGTAAGAAAATCATATACAGAGTGAACACGTGCATGATATTATCATATTCTTTGATTTGCAGAGGAAGGAGAGAGACTAACAGGACACTTCCTGAACCCCACCATTCTCCGCCACAAAGGGGGACATCATGTACCGTCGTCTGGGCCGCAGAAGGACGTCTACAGGGACTCCTACAGGCAGTTCCTGGGGTCGTTTACTAGTAATGAAAACGTTGATGAGGAGTTAGATTTATAAGATCAAAAGGATGGTTTAGTAACCGTTGTACAATTTAAAAGATTTATATAAGAGATTCTATTTCAATTTCTCTCAGGAAAGACTAGAATTTAAAACTTTATATAAAAACTTTGGGAAAAGTATCTTATGACACAGCATTTAGTTAAGCAATGGTATAATGCTGATGGATATGTCTGTATATTTTGGTCATGGATTTTGAATTTGTAAGTGTCATTTATTATTTCAATATATATAGGAGATTAAAAATTTCTTATAATTTCATATATATTTCTTTGAGAATACCAAATTCCCCTTATCAAAATCACCTTTGGAAACATATCTATACATTTCCTATAACTAGGATACAAACATTTAAGTAATTTTTAAAACTACATTTCACTTTGATTTTCCTCAGACTTCTTATCATTAAATAATTTATTTTTTATTAGCTTTTAAAAGTTTAAAATGTGAGAGAGTTCCTGGGAAGAAACAGTGTGCAAAAGAGCTTTATATAATTTATGAAATACTGTACACATTCAGTATTTAAATCTGAGTACAGGTTAACAGGTTAGTGTTTTCTGTTTTCTGGGTTGTTTTTAGAGGAAATAAGAGAAATGAATAAAAGAGGGAGATAGATATAGTTAAAGAGTGAGTGAGTGAGTAGGTGAGTAAACATACAAGTGAATGATTGAGCAAAATGTGTGTACATGTGGGTGTGGGTGGATGAGTGGGTACATGTAGGCTTGCATGCATACATACATAATCATGTATGTGCATGCATCTCTGCATTACCAAATGGATAATTTTTTTTTTTTTTTTTCTAATTCAGCACTAATTCATATGTGTTTTTTGTTATCATTATTATAATTATTATTTTGAAGTATGGAAGTTTACCAATGTTCTATATAGGACCACTGATTGTACCTATATTTATATTTTTTTCTTTTTTTCATTTTGAATGTTGTCTCCAGGACACTTGCTACAATTGATAAAGCATTATTCTAAAAAACTCATTTGAGCATAAGAAGTCAAATAACCTAAGAACATTCACAAAATATAATGATTAGTAAAATTACTTATGACAGTGAAATATACGAATTACAGTTTACATATGATTATGTTGTAGGGTAAGCCGAAGTAGTTTAATCAATATCATGTTATAATTCCAAGGAAAAAATGTGATGGTAGGATGCAGAAAGAGTATATTTTGACAGGTTTTGACCGTATTTGACTGCTGCTTTTAGTGGTAATGAGGCTGTGGCTGAAGAGAGGTGACAATCGTATCCTAAGCGTTAAACCATACAGAGTCTAAATATAACTAGGGGTGAGTTAAAACCAAGGGAATAATGTGTATTTTTGGTATGTGGATTCACCCTTGCTTAGGAGTAGTTTTTTCTATATGTATATACATATAATTATGTATATATGTAGAATATATATACATGTGAAAGTATGAATAAACTTCATGTATAATTTCCCATGTAAATATTGTTTTATGATGCTTACACTTCGTAGATGTTAGTGCAATCAGAAAGGATTTTGTGCTACTTATTAATATAATTGTGAATTCAGTTTAGTAGTAATAGGGGATACAAAAAAAAAATTATATATATAAAAAAAAAATTGTTAACATAAAATCCCATACTATATATACTGCCATAAAAAAAAAAACTTTGTAATCATACATGCACTAAGTTTGCACTGTTACTGATATGATTGCCAAGATACTTATAGTTCTGATTCCAAAACATGATGAACATTACTTTTAGAGAAGCTTACAGAAGCAGTGTTTTGAGATTTTCTTTATAACTCAGAATGAAGCATAAATGGATCAGAAAATAAGACAAGAGCAGTACAATTGTTTCTCTTTCTGTCGTGAATTGTAACTTCAACTTGATATATTTGCCTCACGCACACCTGAGAACATGTATTCACGCAAATTCTTACACAAAAGTTACACATCCCAGTTTCCCTTTGCTTTTGATGTACTTTTTTCATTCCATTTCATGTGAACTATATAAATGTATATAAATGTTATTTTTCATTTAATTTTAAGAGCAAAGCAATGATTACTACTACTACTACTACTACTACTACTATTACTATTACTATTACTATTACTACTATTACTATTACTACTATTACTATTACTATTACTATTACTACTATTATTACTACTACTACTATTACTACTACTACTACTACTACTACTACTATTACTACTACTACTACTATTACTATTACTATTACTATTACTACTATTACTATTACTATTACTATTACTACTATTATTACTACTACTACTATTACTACTACTACTACTACTATTACTACTACTACTACTACTACTATTACTACTACTACTACTACTACTATTACTACTACTACTACTACTACTACTACTACTACCACCACCACTACTACTACCACTACTACCACCACTACTACTACCACTACTACTACCACCACTACCACTACCACTACCACTACCACTACTACTACCACTACTACTACTACTATGACTACTACTAGTATTTACTACTACTAGTATTTGTTACTACTAGTAGTATCTACTACTACTAGCATCAACTACTACTAGTGTTAACTGCTACTACTAGTGTTTACTACTACTATTACTATTACTACTACTAGTATTTACTACTACTAGTATCTACTATTACTAGTGATTACTACTACTACAACTGCTACTACAGTAATTATGTGTACAGGGTGCATGTATGAAAGATGATCCACATGGTTATCTTAGTATTTAGTATTTAGTTTGTGTGTTTTTGTAAATGACATGAGTTGACTAAGGCATCTGTAGTTCATACTGACGTATAAACTACGAAACTGCTGTGTTTTGCACCAAGCAGTAATAGAAAGCATTACATACTGTACAATAGAAATTCTCGTGCTTGTGTTTCGTAATAACTGAAATAAGATGAATGTGATACGTGCAATTGTAAACTTTGGAAGAGCTCAGAAACAGTTACTATTTACTGTTACTCTTTCTTTTAGTTTATGGTTATTATACCCTTATTATATTTACTTGTTGTTTTAGCTCAGTCATGGTTATTGTAATGTATTAACAAAAATGCATTATTAAGTAACTATTTTTAATTCTGAACTTTCGTTGTTCAGGATGTCGTGTTTTGTATGCATGTTCTCATGTAACAAAACTTCAATTTAAGGCATACAGGGAGATATCAAGGGAGATGCAGATGCAGACTCTAGTATCGCAACAGTCACGGAAAGTAGGTGAACCATGGATGCTCTGTTATTTCTCCCTGTAAATGATTGAACAGGACATATACCCTCTGCTCAGTAATGTGTGAAGGCTCATTTTTATTTCCCCATAATTCACACAGCGTGCTCAAACTTGGCTCTTCTGAACAACAGCTCAATATTCCCTGTGGCAGGGATTTGCCAATACTGACAGGGAACCACCGCATCAGGATTACTTCGGCTCAAGATTCAAAAAACATGTACCCCATTACCTCAAGTGTGGAAGACATGGGATGCATATTTTCAACCGAGAACTTATTTAGGTCTTCCACAGAATATGTCGCCTAAAGATGATAAAATAAATCTACAGGATAAGTCTTCGATTCATTGCTGTTCTTAGTACTAAAGACATTAAATTTCAGTTTGTAAGCATGTGTACAATGACAGACAAACTATTAACATTTACCTCAACGCTACCAGAGAAAAGCACACATTTTCAAGTATTACAATAACCTCTTTCTTCAAAATCTTCAATGTTAATGTACTCTTACAAATTTAATGATATGACACATATCAGAAAAATAGACAAAAAAAAAAAAAAAAAAAAAAAAAAAAATGGTAGTTTTCGTAATCAGCTTCGCAGTGTGGGATATAAGCGGTTACTTTGGTTTGTCATTGTACATAAAAGGGGTAAAAAATGCATGAAGGGTTTGCCAATGTAAAGGGTAGAAATTAGCATTACATCATGTTTATGTGGTTTTAATACCCATTTTATAGACAGAAAAAGAAAGAAAAAAAAATCAGTGAGCTGTAAAATGTGGAATCTTAATAGGGGCTATATTATTGTGTGTCTGTTTGTACATATGTATGTGCATATGTGGGACTTTCTCTTTTTATGAATAATGTCATTAATGGAAGGTAAATAAAATTTCAACCCATTTTAAGAAAAAACATTTTAATTTATTTCCTGATATTCACCTTGACTAGAACAAAAATTTCATTGTATATTGTAATATGTACAATATCTATAAAATATGAAAACCTTTTATTTAAAAAAAATCACACATTTGAAGTCACGGTATAAATACAACGCCTGAATTTTAATTGGCATATACATGTAATTCATTAAAAAATTATAAATATAAACTTTGATTTGATTCATTTCGAAACATCACTTTATATTTCCTATTATTAGGAAGGGTAAGAAAAATGATTCTCTTCATACTGATATAAATGCAAGAGAGTTTTCCTAACTCTGAAGGAAAGATAAAACAAGAAATATTATATTAATGTTTTCAAACAAGGTTGTAAACATGTATACATCAACCAGTATATTTTTTTATAACCATTCTTCTTGATAAAGAAATTACATTTACTATGAGCTTTAAAAAGTAAACCACATATGAAGTAGAATAAAAAACATAATATTAAATTTCATTATAATCAAGTGATTAAGACTTGCATGATGAAATTCAAATAATCAAATAATACTTTTGTGAATCTCTTTTGATCACAAAAGCAACATGAAAAGAGCTGCAATAATAAGTCATATTCACCCTTGATGATCTGCAACATGCATACATAAACAACATTATATCTTGCTTTTTGTAGAGATACAAAATTACATAGTCACTGGCTAATGCACAGGCCTTTGTACAGATATAGGAAAAGTGAAGTGAAAGTTATGGTTTTACAAACTTTTTCCTTTCATTCATTCCCTTCCCTCAACCCTTCAAATATAATAAATAAAAAAAGAAAAAAAAAAGAGAAAGGCACCAGGCTCTGTGCTTTATAGGATGTGCAGAAACACTTCAAAAAGTACGATTCCCCAGAGTAATCCTATTTTACCCCACAATAAATACTCACTATAACTCTGCTAAACATTTCTGGTAGTTACAAACTGCATCTCTTAACTCACTTCTAGACCAGTGTTGTGTGTATATGTATATATATATATATGTGTGTGTGTGTGTGAACACACATACACACACACACACACACACACACACACACACACACACACACACACACACACACACACACACACACACACACACACACACACACACACACACACACACACACACACAGATATATAAATATATATATATATATATATATATATATATATATATATATATATATATATATATATATATATATATTTACACACACATATATTTATATATACACACATATATATATATATATATATATATATATATATATATATATATATATACACACACATATATATACACACACATATATATACACATATATATACACACTCATATATATATACACATATATATACACACATACATATACATATATATATATATACATATACATTTACATATACAGATACATAAAATATTCATGCCCAGAAATTGTATCTGGACAACAAGAGCATAAAACTCTCTAACAGCAATGGCACCTATATAATGGACGGTATGAAATTACACATAAAGACTTTGGTTGAGGGCAGAACACGCCACAGTCAACATGTCAACCAATTCAGAGGCACAGTTACAAGGACACTGTAAATCTACAATGACTTGATTTTTTTCCCATCAGGCACAAGAATATAACCAAAGGCATCTTGTGAAGCACCAGTTATTGCATGTTACTAACATACTTTACAAGCCTATGAGAATACTTATAAAGTATTTGACGGGAAAAAAATCTGGCTGATGTACAGGCACGGATACTAATTTCTGCTCATGGTTAGTACTATCTTCTCCCCTCCCCCCCCTACCTTAGACAGAACTATGTGGGGAATCTTGAACAAGTCTCTATTCCCCCAAAAAAATAATAATTTTTACATTGATATATCCCTGAAACAACCCTCTTAAAACTGTTACATATAATATACAATATATAATTATACAAACTTGCCAAAATAAATATATTACAAGTAAATGCATGCCTCTCTGAGGTTTTACACTGGAATGCTTCTTTCATTCAATACTCTCTCGACTATCCTTCTTAATAATAAATAAAAAACTAAATAGAAAGAAAACTTTATAATTTTGAATAAATTTGATGAATTGCACATACTTCTGCACTTGGCATAAACTACAGTATTGGCAGTAGTATTAATTTTCCTCACTGTTTCATGGTTACTTCGGCCTTGGCGTGGAAGTGAGGACTTTTGCATTTTCTCCACCCATTTTGGCCTTATGCCTCCGGGCCCTGGCTTTGCTTGGGGTTCCTTCACTGTCGGAAATGAAACTCACCTCTCCGCTCTCTGACGGGATGGCTATCACCTGTTAAGAGGAATGGAGAGGTCGGGGATTATTTTCAATTTGCTTAGCATTTTTGTCAGGTTCACCTTGATGCTGTGTTAGGCTAGCTATTGATCTTCAATGCAAACAGAAAGAAAGAAAGAAAGAAAGAAAGGAAGAAGGAAAAAAGGAAAAAAGAAAAAAGGAAGGAAAGAAAGAAATGAACAAAAAAGGAAAAATATAATTTATTTTATTATTATTTTTTTTTTAAGGAGAAAACCTTTCTTCAAATCAGTTCCTGAATCTACCCCAATCTACATTCATCTCCAGCAACACAAAAACACCCAGTGACTTTATCTGGTAACTTACATTCCCCGAATCAATCCAATCAATGTCGTCATCGTCTACCCTTATTCCCCCATGCAGGTGCTGTAGGTATGAGGCTGGGACAAGGCCTGTGAGTCTCTGGTCAGCAGTTCGCACGAGCCACCAGTCGCTGTTGGTTTCTTGAATCACCATGACATAGTCTCCTGAAATAAAATAATAAATAAATGAGACTTATAAGAGATGTCTAGTGAGTGCCATTTTCTAATACAAGAATCTGATCTTTCATAATTTCTTCCTTTCTTTTCTTTTAGGCATCTGGAGGATGATTTTAATCTTATACTTACTTTATTAAACCCTGAGATGTGGCTCTCATAGCGTTACCAATAACAGGGATAAAACTCTAAATCATTTCATGATGTAAAACTCTCAAGTTGTATAAGAAACAAAAAACCTGTATCATTTTCAGTAAAACTAAGATCTTTAGGTTATAAAGCCTTCTTAATTATAAGGAAAATATTATCCTCTTTAAGCCACAAAACCTGTCATTTTACGTCAAACTTGCATCCTCTTCAGTTCACAAAACCAGCATAAATTTTAGTCCAACTAGTAGCCTCTTTAAGTCAAAAACCCAATGATTTTGAGTTAAACTACTGTCCTCTTCATGTTACAAAAATAAGTAACTTTTAATCAGCTTATCCTCTTTAGCTCAAAAACCCAAATAATTCAAACTAGTATTCTCTGTAGTCCACATAAACTGTAATTTTATAGCAAACTAGTGTCTGCTTCTATTTTTTTACACGTGAAGTTGTCATGAACTTCACAATAGAATGTCAAGAGATAAAAAAAGATGCAGAAAGAGTCTGAACAATCTAGAAAAAAAAACTGAATAAACACTGAGATATGCTGAGATATGAAGCAAAAAATCATATACCTTGCTTAACGGAGAGTTCATCACGCTCCACACTGTGGTAGTCATACAGGACGGTAGCCAACTGTCCCAGAGGTACCAAATCATCCCCATAGTGGCTGTCAATCACACGGAGACATATGAGACGTCAGATTTCACTTGAATTATATAGAAATATCTTTTATATCTCTTTAGTTATGTATGCCTTGTCTGATATCTAAAACTCTAACAATAAAAAAACAGATAAAAATCAAACAAAGATGTGCAATTTACATGTCTATATATTTCACTTTAGCTTTTCTATGAAGAATTTTAAAATTTGAAAGCTATAACTTACTTAACACTGCTGTCATTTAGGCCAATGGGATTTTCACTTGCCATTTTAAGCACTGTATCCAACTTGCTAAGAATTCTTTTGCCTTGTTCACTCAACAGGTCTTTACCTCCAAGAGAGTTATCAGTATTTCTTTTAGTAGAGGCTTCGTGATCAAGAGCCGTGTTGTACAGGTCACCGTGCATGTTATTGTGCTGAAAGGAACTAGGTTCTAAAGGCCTTGACTTGTATGGAAGAGCTTCAGATGGGGGCACAGAAGATGCACTTCTGTCCATGGAAGTGGAGGTGTAATTCCTGTGAGGCGAAGAAGACAGTTTTCTAGGGATGAAACTCGGACTTGGACTTCTTAACATGGGAGAGTGTGCCCTCACTGAGCCAGCAGGTTGAACTGCAAGTGGGACTGTGGTATTGGTGGCCTGCATGTCCTCATCGTAATCTAGGATCAGGACTGGTGCTTCGTTGGAATACGAACATAAAGCTACCATGTGTTCATGTGGATGATAATCAATGCATGATATTGTTCCATCAATAGGTAAATCCATGAAAGCCGACACCATCTCTCCAGTGTCTGAGTTCCAGATATAAACACCATGATCTTCACTACCTGACAATACCCAAGTCCCACATGGGCTTACACATCCTCGAATTTGCTCGCGTACATTCAGCAAACCTCTCAACCTGTGAGTTACAGTCCAATGCACGTGATTCACAAGTCTTATCTGGCTGTCCCTTGTGTGAACCAGCAAGCGGTATCCTCCAGGGTGAAAAGATATGGTATTTATTGTGTTTCCTAGAATGTCAGGTATCTTTACTTCATGTTCAAAAGTTAAAGGCTTGATTTTCTTCTTTCCCTTGTCCTTCTTTGGTAGACTGACCTTCCAGACTAGAATTATGCCCTGCTTATCTCCTGAATACAGCAAATCCCCTTCTGGGTTGAAACAGAGTGCATTAATGAAGCCCAAGTGATTTGTTAGTTCCTGCACAACCCCATAACCTCC